TGTCCCCTTCTAATTGTTTCTTGCTTCAATCAGTTATGTTGTTTTCTTTTTAGGGAACTAATGCAGCATAGTTCAGAAATTTCAGATGTATGCAGCTGGGATAACTGTAGTGAGTATGACCTCAGGATACTCTGCTCATGTATGACTTGGTGATTGAATATATACAGTGGAATTAGCATGAGGATTTGAACCTTCTCATTATTCTTCAGAGACATGTTTATAGAATTGTCATGCTGTCCTTGGCATGATTATGTTTGGTGGTTCAGCAATAATTAAGAATTAAGATATGTAAACATAGATCTGAGTTACGCAATCAAAAAGGGAATCAGTTTACCAAGTAAATGAGCAGAAAAGAAAAAAAAAAGTAAAATGAACAGAGAAGGACTCAGAGCATCTGGCATTTCTTTTAAGCCTTGTACTTGATTTCCTGTAGGTCTATATTGGTTTCTGGAGATTCTTGCCATCCAGACTAGGTTTATTTGTGAGAATAATAAAAACTCTAGAGATTTTCAAGGGTGTAGGTAGGAGTTACGGGATTCATATAATGGAAGACGTTTCAAGATGGTGAGATGAGCTTGTGCTGCACAATCTTTTATGCGATAGCCCTAGAAATGATAGAAAAATAAACAAATAAACCAATCAGTAAATACATATACTTGCAAATATAAATGGAAACTCTTGAAAAACCAGAAGCCGTGAGAAATTTCCTAAAGATGAAAGTTAGATATTTTCAAGTTAAGGAGGAAAAGCACAGCCCAGTCCACTTGTGGGAAAACATTACTGTGAAAGACAGAAGAAGATCAAGAGTGACCATGCTGAATGAGATAAAAGGTAGAAGCTATAAGCACCAAGAGGCTCAGGGACAAATGACAGGGTGATTAGTTGGGTATTTTAGGGCTAAGTCCCTGGAGTACTTCTCTATCTTGGGCCAGGCAGAAACATTGGGCAATCATGCTGCTCTAGGTACCTGCAGTGGGTATGGGGGCTTATCTTTCAGCAATAGGGTCCTGAGGGGTAGATGATACTCTGAAAAGAATACTGGAAAGGCCAGCCTCTGAAGCATGACTCAGAGGAATGCTCCATTCCTCACCAAATATTATTGCTTGTTTTTAAATGAGAAATTACTCCAAGAGGAGTAAGAGTTTCAGTAATTAAATACAACCAATATCTAAGTGGATGATTAGTCATTATATTAGCCAAGTTTCTTTTATTGAGTGAAATACAACTAATTAGTTTAGGCCAAGAAGAGCTAATTCCTGGTCAATGTACATGTCTTGAGGGAAGACAAAGTCTTAAGGATGACTAGAGCCTGGAGCTCTAATATCCCAGGACGTTCTCCTTTCTCCTTGCAGTTTCTCTTTCAATAACCTCATGTCCTGCACACTCTAGGCAAAGGCAAGGAAAATTTAAGTCCAGAATTCTGTTATGTCTAAAATATTCATGTTCTCTCTCTCATAGAGGAATGCTTTGCTTATAAAGACCTCTGTTATTGGGTGTGAAATCATTAATTATTGAGTTCCGTATGTTCTGCTAAATGTGCCATTTCCACCAAATGGTAGGGGGAGGCTATAATAAATGACTTTCAGGATGAGACTACAGATGAGTGCAGAGGAAGGTAGTATTTATTGAGCATCTACTATATGCTGGGCACTGTCATATTAGACATAGGTGACATATCTAGACTTCACAACAATCTGTAGCATAGATATCTATGTTTAGTAGATGGGAAATCTGACCGAAAGAGATGAAGTAACTTGCCCCAAATCATACAACCAATAAGAAACAACTGGGTTTTAAACCAAGGTTGATTTTGTTCCAAGGATTAAGCTCTCAACCACAAAGTTAAGACATGCAAATATAGGTTTTCGCTGAAGTCTTATGACATTGCTGTGTGGCAAACCCATCTCCACCATTTTTAAGTCTTATCACTATCAGACTTCATATTTTAGTTCAGATGGTGTTGCATTAACGAGGATAGCATGTTTCCCACAAGAGCTTGGAAATACACAATAAAATTGCTATTCTTGTTCAACAGGATTTTTAAAAAGATGTTTTACCATATTTTCAATACCTTTAAAATCAAGGTGGAGAAACAAAACTGAAATTGGTTTTGGGTTGTTTTCAAAGGCTCATTGCTATCATCCTTGCTAGATAAGTTAAGGGAATTTGTACTTTGAGATTTTAGACTTCTTCTCACTGTAGGAGCCCAGGGCAGGCTGCCCCTAAGTGTGTCACAATAGCATATTGACTAGTTTGAATTAAAGTCACTCGGGAAACAGCTAGTGCAAGGACACTAGGAAAGTCTGTTGTCTTAGTTATTAATATTGCATTTTATTTATTAATTTTTCTACCTACTTACCTTTTCTGTCTACTGGTAGACAGGCATGACAGAGTGACATTGAGCCATTTGGTGAGAGTTGTGTTTTCTTTTTTTCACATCTTTTAATAATTCCAATTGTATCAAGTAGAATCATATTCATTTAAATCACCTCCCGTGCAAAATAATCTTGTGTATTTCTGGTAGTACAGGTTTCACATTTTTTGGAAATGCCACCAGAATTTCTCAGTGGGAACTAAGGAATGCAGGCTAAAATACAATTTGATATGTTATCTCATTATTTAAAACAGTTGCAAAAATCCCAGACTGCAGAGGTTGGGTTAACGAAAAGCAAATATGTGAAATCTCGGAAAATATTATTCTTTCCACAATTTTGAAAGTCTGGATTCCTTTTCATTTAGCCAGCAACTTCCTTTTCTAGAGAAAATGGCCAGTGAAGCCAAAGTCAGATAAATGTAGTTTAAGTCCAATTAGGCAATTTTCTGTATTAGAAATTGAAAACTTGGCGATTTTAGGGCATTAATTCCTTCAAAAGTTTAGCTTAAAACTCCTGATTTCTAAAACAAATTAAATGAGATTAATGCATTCTTAGGAAAATAATGTAGCTCTCAATAGAAGACAAATTTACACTATAATTTCTCAAGGGAAAAGGCTTTTTAAAATTTTAGAAGCAAAAGAGAAGGAAGTGTTGAATTCTGTGGAAAAGGCTGTAGATCCCTAAAATCACTTTTGTGTCATATGGTGGCTAAAAACTAAATTGGAATCGTATTTTAAGTGAAAACATTCCTACAATAATGCTTTCCAGAAAGGTTACTCAAAAAAGCCAGCTTCCTTTGACTCCAATGCTAGTTGAATAGTGTTTCACTAATTATGAAGAAAGGGTCCCACCCTTCTCCTGAAGTGCCACCGGCTTCCTCTCCTCCCTGGGGATTTTACTCTGGGTTGAGAAAGAAGGTTCAGGTTATAAATCTCTGCACACTGGAGGTGCATGGACACAGCAATGAGCAAGCTTCCACTGGGGCCAAGAAGGGAATGTGAAGTGGAAGTGTCATTTGTCCCCAGGACTCCAGCTTTCGGAGCTTCCAGCCTTCAGTGTTACTCTCTGTGTTTCACTCTGATGGCCAATGGCACATTCTCCACTACAGTCTGAATAGAACCAGACTCACTGATATTAAAGGTTGGGTCTTGGGCTGGCTGAGGAGTGCATCTCATCCAGAGAGACCACTCTATGGAAACTTGAGTTTTTTTTCTGATTGTGTTCTAGAAACAATGATGCATGGCATCATATGAGGAGCAGAGCCTCCCGTTTTCCCCGACCATCCTGCTTTTATTGGGTTATGTTGGTTCTCATTACATCTCTTGGAGAACTATTGAGGTGGGTCATGTTTGACAGTCAGAACAGGTCTGGTGGGTGATACCAGGGATGATCAATACTCACAACACACTTTCCCACCCCAACACACACATGTGCAGGGGCCTCTTAGCAGAGAGGAATTAAGTAAGCAGGTTGTGCGACTTTGACCCTTGTGGTCTGGGCTGAGACCTGCTCCCAAAATTGAACAGAATTGTATTCAAATCCAGGACTTCAGGATGATCTGTACAGAACACCCCATAATCCTGACTGTACTAAGTGGATTCCAGAAGTCCAGAACACCTTTGGCTTAGAGCAAATACACCATCTCCTGAGGAAAACCATTTCCCCTCTTGTTAGTAAAAACAAACAAACAAACAAACAAACAAACAAAAAACAAGTTATTAGCTCCCATTTGTATTCTTTTTTTTTAAAAAAAAAAGATAATAAAGGGGAAAAGTCCTGAGAGCCTGCATTCAACTTCCTTCTCTCCATCCTTCCAACCCCATCCCTTCTGAGAAATACTTGGAAACTTTCTAATTTACTTCGCAGTCCCAGAATCAAGCAGCCTAGTGCCTCAGACAGAGGTCCACGATGAGTGAGGGAGAGCTCCCATCTCTTGTGTTTCCTCTTGGCTTTTTATTAAACTCTCATCAGTGTGAGTGATTTCAGCGTGTCTCTTCATCAGCAGCCAGCACCGACAGACAGAGATCCAGGGCACCAGCTGGGGACATGTGTACGTATAAAATCTCAGCGGCGAGTACATGCCCAGGAAAAACATGCAAACCAGCCCTTACGTCTAAGAATCGGCGGTGCTTTCTAAGTTCTTGGTGATCTGTGTGCTAAGTCACATTTTCATTTTTGTTGCCGGCTCCACTTTGCAACCTTGCTCTTGCTGGGAGCTCCTGGAGAGAGCACAGGTTCAATCTCAATCTCTCTCTCTTTCTTTCTCTCTCTCTCTCCCCCCACCCCCACCCCCAGACCCCAGCTTCCCCTCTCTGGGAATTTTTCTCTGCTTCTCAGCAGGTGGGCTAGGAAGACACCAGCGAATAACTTCTTGGAGTTAAATAGTTAGCCGGAGCAGCCGCAGTGACCTCAGCTCAGCGGCCCGCAGATAAAGTCTGCCCTCGGTTTCTGAGAAACGTCTCAAGTTCTTTTGGCAGCCCCGGGCTTCTCCGGAATCGGGGCTAAGCCAACAGGCAGCTGGAGCGGCTCCGGAGGCTCACATGAAACCCCGGGAGCAGTTTAAAGCCCCAGCCCCTTGGGGAGTCCGGCCAAGGTCAAGGGGCAGCAGCGGCTATAAAGGGCTGCGGCTGGGCACCACCTGCGCGGCGCGGCGCGACCGGCTCCCCGCGCTCCCTCCGGGCGGCCTCGCCGGCCCTCTGCAGAGCTGGGGGGTTGGCCTCTGGGGGCTCTGGGTGTCCCCGACGCCGGGGAAGTTGGGTGAGTGTGAGGTGCGGGGGGGCCTTGCGGCTCGAGGTGGGCGGAGGAGCGCGCAGAGGGCAGGTGTGCCAGCGCGAGCGAGGCTGCGCCCTCCCTGCAGGTGGTTTTGCACCTGTGGGATGCCCTAAAATCCCCTGCTCCAAGGAACCGCGCAAATAAATGGTTGAGAGAGGTTTCTAAAGGCTAGACTTTGAGAATTGCCAAGGACCTTAGAGCAGTGCTATTCGGACGTGTGGTGCAAGGACCTGCGGCATCCCCATCCCCTGGAGCTTTGTTAGAAATGCAAATTCGAAGGCCCCAAGCCAGACCTGCTGAACCACAATCTCCCGGTATGGGGCCCGGGAATGTATGTTTTCATAAGCCCTCCAGGAGTCCGCTGCAGCTAAAGTTTGCTTACCTATGACTTTGAGGTCATGTTGTCTAAGACTTGCACCCCTCACTCCAGGCAGAAACTCCCAGGTCACCAGGAAGGGGTGCATAGAGGAGAAGCCATAAGGCATTAGATACTGGGATATATTCAGGTATAATAAGAACTTTGAAACATTCATGGCTTGTCGCAATTGCTGTTCAGTGTCCGACTGTGAACTGTGATCTTTGATTTCCTGGAAACAGCACTCAGGGCTTTAAAGGAACTTTACCTTGTCTCTACTCTGTGCAAGGCCCCAAGCAAGGTTCTTTCAAAGTGAAGGAGGAAGTTGTGTATTAAAATCTCCAAACTGGTGGCATATTTTTCCTTTAACCAGGATCTTTGTAATATGGTGTAGCGTTTCATACCCCCCACATTTATCTTGGTTTTTGGTATTTAAGTGCTCCTTCTGGAGTTAATTTTTGTTATTGCTTTTAACCTAGAATGCCAGATTAGGTATTTTGAAAGAGATTTCCTTTATAAGTTCTGAGCAAAAATGCTTAAAAACTCTAAAAATCTTTAAGACATATATTTTTATGTTCGTATTGAAGTCTACTTGATACATTTTACAAGTAGAATATTTAGGGATCCTGAGATTTCTTATGAATCAAATAGAGTTAGACTTAATATTTAAGTCTAACTCTACCATCTCCAAGGTTCTGAACCATTCCTGCAGATTCCTTCATCACTACTGGGAACCTCATTCATGAAATAGTCGATGATGAAGGTTGTATGAATGGTTTGCTGTTAGTTTTGTCTTTTGGTGGCTAACTTAAATATTAAGTCTAACTCTACTACTGAGTCATTCTGAGACTCTTGAGTGAATTTCTGTGGATATTTCTCAGTTTTCCCCTCTTGTCAATGTGTGGATGCAGGAGGTATGCTTTTGATGTGGCACCTGGCAGCATTATTCCAAAGTATCTCCCCAGAGTTCCCTACCTGCTGTATGGTTACAATGTTGAATCTTTATTAATATGTTAAAGTAGACAAAATACTTAACACAGTGATCATAGTTAATTATGTATGCATGTTTTAAGTTAAAACACCCGAGAAGCTTGCTCACAGATTTCAAAGGCTAACTTCTGTTTTGAAAACAATTTTGGAAATGTCAGTTAAAATTACAAGTTATTGGTAAGAATGCCATATGCCTGTGAAAATAAAGCTAGCCACTGTAAATATTCCTCTTCCTGAATCATGGCTGCACACAGAACTTGCTTATAAGAATTCAAAGAGCATACTCAGTATCCTTTTATAATGGAGTATAAGGTTTGCAACATAAGTCTTATTTTTGTCATATTTTATATTGTTATTTCCCTCCTTCAAATCACCTTCCAAAAGAGAAGAATTTTTAACCCTGGAGCATTTATCTGGATCCCTCTAGCTCTGAGAGTGGGGGACAGGAATTTACTTGAGGTGTGTACTTTTCACGGCATTGCAGTTTGCTTTGAGAATGCCGTCAATCTCCTAGGATCTCAGATCCAGGTCCTCTCTGGGCAGGTGCAGAGAAGGTGATGGGCACTGGGCAAAGCTGGGACCTAGGATACAAACAAGATGCATACCTACCTTATGAGGAAGCACTAGCCAGTGGGGCATTGGCAGTTGCCCTGTGGTCCTGCCCTTGATTCTTCTGACCTGCTCGGATTCTAATCCTTCAAGCCAGTTTTGGGGGCATACTGTAATTCAAGACTTGGTCTCTGAAAAGCCATTGCAAATTCTACTTTCTTTGATGGACGCAAGTGACACGTTGAGACATCTCCCTTAGCATGGTTGGAAGATAATAAAGGACATAAAGAGAACAGAATAGTGGGATGAGAACTTTAGGAAAACAGTGTTGTGCAGTGGAAGGAACATCATCTTTGCTGTTGGTGAGACTGCATGTTTTGGGCCAATCTGTACTCCCTCACCGAGCCTATTTCCTTATCAATAGTAGGGTATAATCATCATGCAAAAAGACCTACTCTTCTTCTGGTTCATCCACCTTCAGTGTTTATTTCATGGGCTAATATTAGCTACAAAGGAGGTTTGGAAATGTGGTTTTATAGCTGAGCACCCCTATCCATCAGTATAAGGGTTCTATTGATAAAGAGGGAATATTGGATAATGAATAGGCAACTAGAGTTTCTGAAAAATGAATGCAGGACCAGATTGGTTCTTTAGAGATTGTAAAGTGCCAATGGTTGTGGTGGATAGTGGTGTGTACATGTGTATGCATTAAAGAATAGAAGGTGGTAGAGGAAATGTGATAATAACAAGTTTCTAGGCTGCTGGATGGCTTGAGGGTGTTCAAGTTAAGCAGACAGGTCCCTGAAATAGAAGTGCTCTGGCTGTGAAAATGTGCTAATAACCGTATCTCTACCTAGGTCTTTTTTTTTTTTTTAAGATTTTATGTATTTGAGAGAGAGAGAGAGCAAGAGAAAGTGTGTACGAGTGAGAGAGCACAAGCAGGGGGGCAGGACAGAGGGAAAGGGAGAAGCAGACTTCCCGCTGAGCAGGGAAATCCTGATGCTGGACTCCATCCTAGGACCCTGGGATCATGATCTGAGCCTAAGGTAGATGCTTAACTGTTTAACTGATTGAATCACCTGGGTGCCCTCTATCTAGGTCTTTTTTGTTTGTTTTTTGTTTTTTGTTTTTAATAATAAATTTATTTTTTTATTGGTGTTCAATTTGCCTACAGAATAACACCCAGTGCTCATCCTGTCAAGTGCCCCCCCTCAGTGTCCGTCACCCATTCACCCCCACCCCCTGCCCTCCTCCCCTTCCACCACCCCTAGTTCGTTTCCCAGAGTTAGGAGTCTTCATGTTCTGTCTCCCTTTCTGATATTTCCTACCCATTTCTTCTCCCTTCCCTTCTATTCCCTTTCACTATTATTTATATTCCCCAAATGAATGAGACCATATAATGTTTGTCCTTCTCCGATTGACTTATTTCACTCAGCATAATACCCTCCAGTTCCATCCACATTGAAACAAATGGTGGGTATTTGTCGTTTCTAATGGCTGAGTAATATCTAGGTCTTGAAGCAATTTACATAAATGGCTATATTTAAATCAACACAGTAATCCTGAGGGGTAAAAAAGTAGATATGTTTATTACCACTTCATTGATAGGAACGTTGAGGCTTAGATTTATTAAACCCTTGTGTATAAGCATATGCTCAGTTAGCACAGAGCTACTGTAAACCTCAGCTTTTCTGGCACCCAGCTGATCTCCTTATCAGGAGGGGTCAGGTTGTAAAAGAAATGAGAGAATGAAGATAACCTTGCATACTTCATTTTTACGATTGCAATAAGGTAAGAAAAAAATTTGGAAAGAGGGAGATAACATAATGAAATTTTGTAATTTAATAATTAAATTGTAATGATGTAATGATTTAAGAGCCTATATACCTGGGTTCAAATCAGCATTTAATCACTTGCGAGCTGTGTAAACTTGGGTGAGACACTTAACACCACTATTTTCTTCTATCTTATGTGGTAATAGTAGTACTCATTGCATAGAGATCTTATAAAGATAAATAACTAAAAATAGTGATTGATACATAATAAGAAATAAGTGCTTGCTGTTTTAAATAGACCATAACTAAGAGAAAAAATTGGAAATCAATTGAGTTAATTGAAATAGCTGACTACAAGATAAATTTAGGGAAAAAACCAATAGTTTTTCTATAAACAGTAATAAGCAGCTAAGAATATAATGAAGAAAATGTCTATTCTAAATAAAAATAAACTACAGAATGAGGACTATGAATGTGAAATGTGTGTGACCAACTACTGTTGGCTTCTTGCTGCCTGAACTTTACCCTCTACCCTTGCCCCAAACGCACATTTAGAGAGATGCACAGAAAACCCAAAGCACCAGTATGGGTTTTATGCAAAAATACTTCCAAGAAAAAGGGAAGCCTTTGTTATATGCAAAACAAAGATTAAGAGTTGTTCCAGGAAACAGAAGAAAATTACTCTAAACTCTAAGGCATTAGAGAACACAGGTTTTCTTTGGTTTCTTTTCTTTCTTTTCTTTTTTTTTTTTAAACACAGGTTTTCTAAAGCAAGGGCTCAGAGAAATGCAAGAAGCAATGAAAGACAAAGGCAAGGAAAGCTCAGAAAGAACATAAAACCAAAACCCAAATTAGAAGGTATAAGTCAACCTGGTGGGAAATTAGTTTTACCTTAGAGGACAACTTTGAAAAAAAAATCTCATAGATTGCAGAGGGCAAGGACAAAGAGAGAAAAATGGTTAGACTAACAGTAATGGAAAACAAGTAAGAGAGAAACAGCATCAGACTATGTAGATTTTCTGACCAAAAAAAAAAAAAAGAGGATAAACAGAACTGAAAATAAATATAAAACATGTTGTATTTCTATGAGCTCAAATTATCATTCATTTTAAGATGTATCTTTGATTTAAAAATAGTTTTGGGGCAAATAAAAGGGAAAATAAAACTATATATTAAATGAATGTGTCACAAGAAATTTTTCATTTGAGAAAGACTAAAATGTAAAAAAAATGTATTTTTTATTTGAGAAAATATAGAATTAGATGAAAACTCTTCCAAAGTAAAAGAACATCTGCATTGGCATGTCAAGAGTCTCA